TGAAAAGCAAGGGGGAAACGTATCCACACCACTGGCTACTACTCCACGATAAAAAGGAATGAATTATAGATACACGTAATAACTTGGATGGAACGCGAGGGCATGCATTATGCTGAGTGAAACAAAAAGCCAACCTCAAAAGGCCACATACTGCATGCCTCCCCTTACGTGACATTCTCAAAATAATAAAATCACAGAGATGGAGAACACATGAGTTAGAGATGGTAGGGGAAGGGGGTGGATATGATATCTCTTAATAGATATCATAGACACTTTTTATGTCATTAACTACTCCACACAACCATCACTTTAATAGTTGCATCTTCGAGGTGATGGGGCATTCTTTATCTTGTGGTGGTTACACAACTCTACAGATATGCTAAAATGACATGGAAGACACAACACGAATAGCAATGACGATTTTCTGGTTTTGATGTTGAACTAAATCACATAAGATGTAATCATAGGAGGAAGTGAGTAAAGTCTACAGGACCTCTTTGTACTGCCTTTGCAATTTCTTGTGAATCTATAATTATTTCAAAATTTAAAAAAAAATAGCCCTGGCCGGGTAGCTAAGTTGGTTAGAGCATTATCCCGATATCCCAAGATTGGTTCAGTGCCTCTGGGGCCTGGTCAGGGCACATACAACAATCAACCAATGAATACATAAATAAGTGGAATAATAACAAATATCTCTCTCTCAGATTGATCAATAAAAATAAATTTAAAAGCATGGAAAACTCCACTGTTAACATTTTAGCATGTGTCATGTGAATTATTTTCTTCACACAAGATCCTATTGTATATAAATTTTATATCCTGAAATTTTCCCTTAATAGATATCATAAGCACTTTTTGTATCATTAACTACTCCATAAAACAATCACGTTAATAGTTGTGTCACAGGTCAATTTCATGGCTATGTCATAATTTACTCAACCACCCATTCCTTATTGAACACTTGGGCTGTTTCCAATTTTTTATCAATATAAACAACTTCATGATGAATATCTCTGTGCAGCAATGGTTAACTACATTTTGAATTATTTTCTTAGGCAAGACTTCAGAAGGGAAATTATCGCGTCAAAGGAAATAATTAAAGCAATTAAAATAGTTTTGTTGTGATAAACGGCAGCAATGACCGCCCCTTGAGAATGCCCAGCCCAGGGATTGGAAAGGAAAGCACCAGAATTATGACCACAGCTACATCCAAGGTTCCCTGAGGGTGGTCCCCACCAGCAGCAGCAGCCTCACCTGGGAACTTACCTTGCAGGTTCCACATGCAAATTCTCAGGCCCCCTCCTTCCCAGACCGATGCATCAGAGACCTGGGTGGTTGAGTGTTGTCCTATGTACCAAAAGGTCGCCGGTTGGATACCTACCTAGTCAGGGCACATGCCCAGGGTTTCAGGCTCAATCCCCAGTAGGGGGCCTGCAGGAGGCAGCCGATCTATGTGTCTTGCATCAATGCTTTTCTCTCTCTCAAAAAATCAATAAAAGGATTTTTAAAAATGCCAACCTATTTTCCAGAGCAGCATTTTGCATCCCCACTGGCAGGGTATGCGAGTTTCACTTGCCCTGCATCCTTGCCAGCACTTGGTATTTTCAGTTTCTAAGCTTTTTGCCATTTTAATAGGTGTTAATGGTATCTAGGGGTCGATCTCATCTAATTTGCATCTCCCTAATGTCTAATGACACTGAGCATTTTTCATGCATCCTTGGGATTCTGGAGAATTAATAAACCTGCACCCCAACCCAGAAACCAACTTACAGTGCCAAAGAGACTAATCTGGATTCTCACTTGGCTCCACACACTGGAACATTTTAACGGCAACGCTCAGCCGATGACAACGGGCCTCCAGCACATATGCCAGCTCTGTCAGACCCGCAAGCAGGCGGCAAGAGGCTCCTGGCTGCTAAGCTTCGTCTCCCCTGTTCCAGGTTTTATGTAGAGGAAAACGTTTTGTGCCTTTGCCTTTGAGATGTGTCCCCCCCTCCCCTCAAATT